ACAATGCTCGCCTCTCCCCCGGCAAGCCGCCGCCAGCCAGAGTTGCAGTCCTCGGCACGCTTTCGCGGGCGCAAAGTTCGACGGAACTCCACGGGTCGGGACCCGTCTCCGAAACAAGCCCGCCCGGAACTGGGCAGAAAACTCGCCCCCACCGGTTCTCTCCCACCATCTTCCCAGACCCATTCGGGGGGGAGGAGGAGGGCGAGAGGGGCTTCGCTTTTGCCCCTTCCCCGCCTCTGGACCGCCGCTGCTGCGCCGTCCCCGAGAGGAGGGCGGAGATACCCACCGTCCCACCGGAGAGGCCGAGCGGCGGCCCAGCGCCTCCCTCCACGCGGGGCAAAGAGGCGCTCCGGCCGAGCAAGAGTCGCCCCAGCTCGGCTCCCGCGCCGGATCTGCGCCTCTTGGCTCGGGCGGGGTGCAAAGGGCGAGGCGGCCTGGCCGAGGGGCTCCCGCCTCCCGCCGTCTTCTTCTTCCGAGCCCGGGCGCTGCAACTCGCCTCCTGCTCGGCTCTCGGGAGTTCCGGGGCGGTGGCTCGGCTGGCTCCCCAGAAGGGTGCGCGGGAGGCCTGCCGTCCCCGCCCCCGGGGAGGGCTCGGCGGGCTGGAGAGGTCCGGGGCCCGGGCCGGACAGGCTTCCGGGCGCCGCCCATCCCCGGAGCCTCCAGGGGCTAAGGACGCTCCGCCTCCCGCAGGCAGGAATCCAACCGGTGGAGCTGGGCCTTCCCGCCGTCTCCCTGTTCCTGCAGAAGTTCGGCTTGCTCCGCTTCTGGGATTAGGCTCAGGAGTACGCGGGGTGGAGAAGGCGGGCCACCCTCCCTTCGTCCTCCTGGGCTAATCTTACTGTCGAGGAAATGGTGGCCTCTGCGGCGTCGTGCCGCGCAAGGCAAGGATCGGTCCCCGGAACCTGTTTGCGAATTCTGGGAAGAAAAGGATCAGGTGCCCTTTGAGCGTGCACAGAGTGCTTTTCCATCCACAGCCCGTTCGCAACCCGCAGGGATTAACCAAGTGACAGTTTTCAGTGCAAAGGCGGGAGAGTCTGGCCTGGGGCCCCAGCAGGGGGTGTTTTACGGAGGTGGAGGCTGTGGGCAATTCCAGGATCTGCGGGGTGGAGGAAGAGTTGGATTTCTACCCCACCTTTGAGTCTCAGAGCGGCTTCCCTTCCTCTCCCTATAACAGACACCCCGTGAGGCTGGTGGGGCTGAGAGAGCTCTGAGAACTGATCTAGAGAGAACAGCTCTGAGAGAACTGTGACTGACCCAAGGTCACACCAGCAGCTGCATGGGGAGAAGTGGGGACTCAAACCCGTTTCTCCCAGATTAGAGTCTGCCTTGGTTCCCACAGACGCATATAAGTGAGGAGCAGCATGGGGTAGTGGTTAGAGTATCGGGCTAGCAAACGCAGACCCCACACTTGCCAAGCTCCAGGTGGGGGCTGAAGATCTCCCAGAGTCATACCTGGTACCCAGACTACATAGATTGCTTATTTATTATTTTAAACATTTATTCCACTTCTCCTGGAGAAAATGACTACCCTGGAAGGTGGACTGTATGGTCTTATACCCTAGCAAGGTCCCTCCCTCCCCTAAACCCCACCCTCTCATCTCCAGGTATTTCCGATCCCAGAGCCGGCTGCCCTACCTGGGGGGCCAGTCACTCTCCCCGCACTGTGTTGTTGTAAGGATAAAACGGCAGAGAATCCCCAGTACCACCCTCTGCTCCTTGTATGAGGGGGAAAGTTAAAAGGGGGTAACTGTTGTGAAACCTATGACTGAATATGAAACTAGGAACCATGGTTACGGCCAGATTGCTGGCAAACATACAAATTGTGTCTTGGTGGGGCTGTGCCTAGCAGGACGGAAGCCAAACATCTCCCTCCGCCACATCCAAGGAAAGGTTTCCTGTGTACTTAGAGGACTCCTTCAGGTGTACAGGAAACTATGGGGAGGGGTTCTTAAAACGTAAAAAACCAGCCAGCCCCCCAAAGCCCAATGAAGACTGAGAACCCTTGCTGACCGACAAGTGTGGCAAAATGCTTAAGGAAGCTGAGCACTGGTTGGAGGAAGGCGGGGGGGGGGGGACAGGACCTGTGTATGCACTTAAGCTTGCAACCACAAAAGCTAGCCATATCGGGAAGTTGCATTACAGCCACTGTAATCTATACCGATGATCTCTTCCTCCCATAGCAGTAGGGGAAGGGAGAGACTAACCAGAAAAGCAGTCTAGCCTCAGACCTCATGCTAAAGGAGTGGGCTCACCGTGGTTTTATCTTCTCCCCTCCATCATAATCTGGCACTGTCATAAACAGGAGCCAGCATCGAGCCTAGCCTCATATTTGAGCTCACCTTTGCTACTAGCTCTCACCATCCTTCCCACAAGGGAGCATGTTTTATGAAGCGGTTGATGGCCAGTTCTGAAACGGCTGCCGGCTTGGAAAGTACAGCAGGGCTTTTTGTACAGGTAGTGGAAACCGAGCCCGTTTATTACTTTATCCAGGATTAACTGTAGGACAGATGTTCTATCTTCCACTCATTTGTGTGAATGGAAGGGGAAAAATTGGCCAGTGTAAACACCCACCCTATGAAGAACAGGGGTAGGGTTACAACTCTGCCTTTTACCACCACCGTCTGTTAGACACATCTTGAGTAAGCAGAAGCCGTGGCTTGATGCCAGGGTGCGTAGCAACTCTATTTTCAAGGGGGAAATTAGCAGTAAACAAAACTCTGCCGCATGGCCAAGCCTCCATCTGAGCATTCCAGATCAATGCTAGCTACAAACATGGATACATCATAGTCCCAGCAAGTTAGACGCTAGTGAAAGCCAGGGCAGTTTAGCGGTTAGAGCAGGGGTGGCCAAACTGCAGCTCGAGAGCCGCCTACAGCTCTTTCACACAGTCTAATGTTAACAAAAAGCAAATTTGCATATTTTCCAATAAAAATGCGTAATATTTGCTCATGTCTTGCAGCTCTCAAACATCTGACGTTTATTCTGTGTGGCTCTTATGTTAAGCAAGTTTGGGTTAGAGGGTTATGCTGAGAGCTGGGAGACCCAAGTTTGAGTTCCCCACTGCCGTGGGAGTTTACTGGGTGACCTTGGGCCAGTCACGTGCTCTCTGTCTAACGTACCTCACAGGACTGTTGTAAGGATGAAATTGAGACGGGGGAATGTTGTAATCTGCTCTGGGTCTCTACTGGGGGGAGCACTGAGGTATAAAACAAGCATAGATAGCTTTAAAGAGGGATTCGATAAATTCACGGAGGATCAGTCCATCAGTGGCTCCTAGCCATGGTGAATTCTTCTGCTTCCGATCGTGCGAGACAAGATGCTGGACTTGATGGACCACTTGTCTGATCCAGCAAAGGTGGTCTTACGCTCGATGAAGGAAAATAAAAGTAATTCAACAGAAGCACATATTTGAATCAGCCTTCTTGGGCGCAGCAAGGAAGACCACCTCTCACTGCGTGGGAGAAGCACAAAGACCAGTTGTTGCACACAAGGAAGAGATCGGGAGCACAGATCAGGGGCAGATTGAGCCCTTTAACCTTCCGGAGAAGATGCCTGATGGCCGGCAGCAAACAGAAGCCAGCTCTGGCACCTCTGCCACCATTCCAGCGGTCCCTGGGCTCAGACCCCTCATGGGCAAGGAGGCAGCAGCGGGGGAAACGTCTTCAGACAGCGCTGGCTCTTCGGCTTTGAAACGGAGATGAGCACCGCAACCCTAGAGTCAGATTTGACTGGCTTTCGAGCAAGGGAACCGTTACCTTTTAACTTTACTGGCATGGAGTGGCACGTAGAGGCTTACTGCAGAGGGCCACTGAGCTCTGTTTGCCCCAGGGTTATTTCCCATTCCCCATCCACTCCCACACCACACAGGCAGGGAAAACCAGTCCCAGGCTGTGTTTATGGTCAGGACAGAGTTCCAGCACAGGGACTAAGAGGGCAAACTATCATCCTTCTCTGCTAGGCCTGTGGCAGTAAAAAGGATTCTCCTCTCCTTAAAACGGCACAATTCAGGAGCACCTTCAGTCACTCCCCTCCCCCTTGAATTAGTACTTTAGCTACCCTTGGTTACAGATTCTCCAGTAGACTGCCGCGATCTGTTTTCACAGGGTAAGCAGTTGACCTCTGGCTAACGTTTAACCTAGAAGAGAAGGTCCGCTGGCAGCTAATGGGCCGGATCCCGCAGTAACTCCTGCTGGTGGGGCTTTTGTCAACGGAGTGGGACTCCCGCCTCCTACTGCAGCTGGCAGTGCTCAGAGTGAACACATGAAACTGCCTTAATGCCTTGGCCCGTCGAAGTCAATCTTGTCCATTCGGACTGGCAGTGGCTCTGCGGGGTCTCAGGCAGAGGTCTTCCCCGTCACCTGATCCTGGGCTCTTTTTGTAGCAGGAATTCCTTTGCATATTAGGCATCACACCCCTAATGTAGCCAATCCTCCAAGAGCTTACAGAGCTCTTCTTACAGGGGCTACTGTAAGCTCTTGGAGGATTGGCTACATTAGGGGTGTGTCGCCTAATATGCAAAGGAGTTCCTGCTACACTGATCCGTGGCCCCTGCCTGAAACCTGGAGGATAGGCAGAATGACAGTGCGGGGGGGGGAGCGGCGGGGGGGGGGGGGGGGATTGCCCAAAATCTACCTTCGTTCACCATTAGCAGAAATCCACTGCTAGAGTCAACCCACCAAGTTCCGCTCCCAAACCAAGCTCATTTTCCAGCCACTCCCCACTAAGGACGCTCACGGCCATACCTCATACTGACCCTGGGCCAGTCGCATGCTCTCAGCCTAACCTACCTCGCAAGACTGTTGTGAGGGTAAAACGGAGAAAGGGAGAAATGCTGTAATCTGCTTTGGGTCCCCTTCTGTTGCACCACTACAGAGCAGGGTGACGACTTGTCCTGATACGAGGCACCCTCGGAAAGGATCAGTTTATTCATTCATTCATTCAAAAAAAACAAACACAACCCCACTGTACAAATATTACAGGCAAGTTTTGTTTTTGCTGCAAAAAAAGTATAAAAATAATCTTTATATACGAATCAAAATTCATTTTCCCCCATTGTACATCTCTCTAGTTATCTTCAGACGTCATCTAACAGGAGATTGCCAGCACAGGTAAGCAAGGGGGGGGGGACCGCTAGGAGAGCACTCCGTCACACACACAAAGGTCAAGGAACCGATGTGAACAAGCCAACAGGGCAAGCCAGCTAGCCTTCTAGAGGCACAGGGTGCGGAAGGAGCGAGACAGACACACAACACATCTGGGACACTCAAGCCCAGAACAAAGCCAAGCAGCTGTTTCGCAGGCTTCTAAGCCTCTGGAAACTGAAACAAGCTTCTATTCTGGAGGAGGGGGTGGCAAATAATAACACCACCCGGTGAAAGACAGAGGCACCTATTTCACCATTTCCAGCAAGTAAGACTAGCAGTGCAATACTATGCAGAGTTACTCCAGTCTAAGCGCATTAGCTGCAACACATTTGAGACAGGAGCAACTCTGCAAAGGAGTGCACGTTCCTCCCCCCGCCACGAAGGGCCAGCACCTCTCTACAACAGACAAGCACTCCCTGGTTCTGAGGATGGTCTAGATCCGAACCCGTCTGCAGCCCTAAGGGTACTAACAGGCCAGGGTGCTTCACCTGAAACTGGGCTGCATTTCGCACAGCAAGGTTTGGGGGGAGCTCTTTAGCAGCTGCAACTCTCCTTGGCGGTAAGGGCTGGGGCGTGAGCGTTTTAAGTGTCCGCTTCAGGTTAAGAGCAGAGAGCCAGTGATGATTCAGCTACCGGAGGGAGAGATTTCCAAAAGTGCAAAAGGGAGATTTCTCGCCCTTCGGATGATCAACCAGGGGGTAAAAACCCAAACACCTGTCATTAGAAGGTACAGGAGAAGCTTAAGAAAGGTAGAGACGTGCTAGCACGGCAACCCAGTGCAACCTGGAGCATGGTTAGCACATTTAACACAGCTGTTTTGTGGTCTTCAGTCCCACTGTGCCAGTACAGCCCACCCCCAGCGCCTAAATATTGCCCTCAGGCTGACCAGGCAAATTACAGAAGGCCACCACCAGCTTCTGCTGTAAAGTTCCAGGCCCACAGGGACACAGCTTGCCAGCTTCTTTGCAGAAAGGTCCCAGAGGCTTTTCCTTGCCACAGCTCGGAGCTATCAGTTTCTCAATTACGTCTCTTCGGAGGAAAGTGACTGTGCAAAGCTGGAGAACCCCCCCCTTTTTGTTCATCTACGCAGCTAAAGGAGAAGAACCACTCCGCTCACAGTGGCCTTCTGAGCAATACAGATGGCTGTGTCTTGAAATGAGGAGGGACTGGACTCTAAAAGGCCGCTTCTAAGCACCTGTCCTACGGTAAAAACCGATGCAAAGTGAGGCTGCTGGGATCCCTGTGGCATCGGCCTCCCACCTTGCTCACCCCTCTGCACACACAAAAGTACAATCGCCAAACAAAGCACAGTCGTGTTCGCGACGAGGACAAAGTATAAGAGAGACTGATCCTTTGCTCTCCCAAATACACTGGGCTGCGGATCAGCCCCCGGGTTCCTAACACAAAGTGTCTCTCCAGGAGTGCAGGAAAGCCAAAAGCAGGTGGGATGGACCTCAGAAAGCTCTTGGGCTAAACGGGAAGATTCAAATGCAAGTCCATCTGGGATGGAGGCCTGGGATTCAGGGAGAGGCCAGCTAAAATGGAGGTTAAAAAAAAAATCAGAGACTCAGCCTGTGCAATGCGGAAAAGGAAGGAGCCCCCCAAACGGGGCTGCCAAGCCTTGGAAGGAAGGAAGTCCGCTCCTCTCCGTCTCGTGTCCAAACTATAGCAGCCCAGGTGAGTCACTCAAGCACTAGCAAAAAAGAAGGAATCCCCAAACCACGGAGGGGCTTTTCTCCCCCAGTTTGTTGTTTTTTATAAAAAATATATATATGTATCGGCGCATCCCAAAGTCCATCCAGATGGCCTGCCCAGAGTCAGAGGTTGAGGATAGGCACGTCGAAAAGGTCGCACACCCCTTCGCTCTCGTCCAGGTTGTAGATGTAGTCGTGGTCTCCAGGAGGCGGGGAGAGGCGCAGCAAGGGAGCGAACACTGGCCAAAGAGAAAACAGGAGTCAGGAAAGGCTATCGCTGCAGGGACGCCAGAGCATATGAGGCTACCCCTGAGGCTGTGATTCCCAGAGTGACACCTATGGCCTGCCAATGTGGTCTAGCATGCCCGCTTCTTCAGTCCCAGCTTTCTTCCACCTCATTGGAGCAAAACGTGCATCGGAAGAGCCCGGGAGACCTCCCCTTTGGGTCTGCAGGGAGTCGCCGTTTAGAGAGAGCTTGCCTCCAGTCATCACAGGTGCACCCAGGGCTTGGAACCTCCCAATGTCCAGTGACTAGCCCCACTCCCCTTGGCAGCCATCTGGTGGTGGTGCCTACACAACGTTCTTGACATTCCAAAAGCACCCATAAGCTCCACATGGTTTGGGGATCCCCGGCTTCAGCCTTACCTTCAGAGGACATTAGCTCTTCAAGCAGCTCAGAATTCATGCATTCTGTGTGAGAGAAAGAGACACTTTACACTTCCGTACTTTGCCACCGGCTTCCCAGGCTGGGCGCCTGTTTTTCACTTCCCTTTTCCTCTGCCCCGTGACTCAGGGCCTCTCCCCTTCTTCACCTAAGCACGCTTCTAAAAATTTATTAAATTTGTTTATACCCCAGTTTTCTGCCCAGTGGGGACCCAAGCAATGCTCCCTCTAAACTGTGGAGTCTTGTGAGCAAAAATTTGTTGAGCTACTGGCATTAAAGTTGTGAGCGAGCGATTTGGCTACTGCATAAATTAGTTTGCTCTCTGGAGCCATCCTTACTGAGCTAAGACAAAAATGTCTGAGCTGGAGGCTAAAAGCTGTGAGCTAGCTCACACTAACTCAGCCTAGAGGGAACACTGGACCCAAGGCGGCTTACATCGTTCTCCTGTCCACCATTTCATCCTCACAACAACCCTGTGAGGTAGGCTGGGCTGGCTGTGGCCGGCCCAAGGTCACCTGGCGAGCTTCCACGGCACGAGTGGGGATTCGAACCTGGGTCTCACAGGTACTAGCCCAGCTCCCGCACCACTACACTACGCTGGCTCTCGTTTTAACTGTAGCCGAGCATTTGGAGAGGCTTGGCAGGGCAAGCATCAAATGCAGGCAGCACTGAGCCACGCACAGCCACTCAAGGCCATTCTGGGCTCCCCTCGGGCAGCTGCTCCCTGCCCTGACACTGCGAAGCTCCAGCAGGGGCCAAGCGTGAACAGAACAGTCCCATCGAGCCTCTTGTCCAGCCAAAGTTCCGTTTTCAGTAGGGAAGAGGACACAGATCATGCTGGGTGATCAGAGTTGAAAAAGGGCCAACGAACCTCTTCCAGCACGTTAAAACTTATACAGCAAGAGCTAAAGTTTATTAAACCTTCGTTACTGCAGTGTAATATTTTGCAGCTTTGTTATTTAATATTTAAGTAATCTTGCATTGATTGATAAAATAACCGTTGGGAAGTGATTGCTGGCATTTTTTGAAATTTAGATATATTTAACCCTTATTGCAGTACCGCAGCCTGAACAGTGCAGATGAGCCCGATCCTGTCAGATCTCAGAGGCTAAGTAATATAAATGGTAACAGCCCAAGACAACTAATAAACCAGAGAACAGGCTGACACTCAGCGCTTGGGATGAAATGAAATGCAATTTCTCTAATATATTAACAATGTTATTTTATAATAGCTAATAACACATCCACATTGTTACATATTTTTTCTTCCACAGGTACAGAAAAAAAGAAGTGGGTTGACGAAACTCCCCGGAGTTGGCTTTCGTTTCGTTCACAACTTCATCCGAACACACTGAAGCACCTATCCAATCATAAATTATGAGGCAATGTACCGTGGTAGTTTCTCTTGAAAACCTACTGTCCATAGTGTCTTCCAATGATATTCCATGCCATAATTCAAATACTAAAAGCATTATTACAAAAAGCATTTTTTTGTTCAGTCGCACAGTCGAGTCCATGGACCAGATCACACCAGGCCTTTCGGTCTCCCGCCATCCTCTGAAGTTTGCTCAACTTCATGTTCGTTGCATCTATGACACTGTCTAACCATCTCATCCTTTGCCGTCCCCGTCTTCTTTGACCTTCAATCTTTCCCAGCATCAGGGTCTTCTCCAGTAAGTGTTCCCTTCTCATTTGGTGGCCAAAGTATTTGAGCTTCAGTTTCATTATCTGGCCTTCCAGGGAACAGTCAGGGTTGATTTCTTTGAGGATTGACTGATTTGATCTTCTTGCAGTCCAAGGGACTCTCAAGAGTCTCCTCCAGCACCATAGTTCAAAAGAATCTATTCTTCGGCGCTCGGCCTTCCTTATAGTCCAACTCTCACAGCCATACATGACTACTGGGAATACCATTGCTTTGACCATGCGGACTTTTGTTGGCAGGGTGATGTCTCTACTTTTTATCATGCTGTTTAGGTTCGCCATCACTTTCCTCCCAAGGAGCAGGCGTCTTTTAATTTCATGACTGCTGTCACAGTCTGCGGTGATCTGGGATCCCAGGAACGTGAAGTCTGTCACTACTTCCACGACTTCCCCTTCTATGATCTTAGAGGCTAAGCAGGGTTAGCCCTGGTCAGTACTTGGACGGGAGACCACCAAACAAGTCCAGAGTTCCTATGCAGAGGCAGGCAGTGGCAAACCACCTCTGAACATCTCATTTGAAAACCCTACAGGGGGCACCATAAGTCCACTGCAACTTGACAGCACTTTATTATTATGACACTGCAACATACGGTTCAAGATTTAAGTAATTCTTTATTCATTTTTATATATAGGATAGGGATTGTAGACTATATTGTTTTACACTAGATGTAAAACAATCAGGAAGGTTCTGTTTTATGTGACGCTGGCTCCAGCCATTATACGATATGTCTTTCTTTGGCATGTCTACTGACTAAAGTGATGCCTTTGCAGTTTATTTAATAAAAACCGGAGGAAAATGTTCCAAAATGCAAGCAGAGACAAATGATGCCTGCTTATTGTTTAAAAAATGATGTCTGCCTGCAGTACTTCAAGTCTTGCTGGGCAAATTAAACAGAGTTACAGGTACACTAGGCAGGGGCAATGACAGAACTGGCTGTTAATCCACATGTATCCAGCAGAGGCCGCTCTTATCCAAAGATGCTCCCACAAAGCACCACCCCCTTAAAGGCTTTGAACAGCAATCTTTCTAGTGTGCGTGCACACGAAAGCTTCCACCCAGAATTAAATTTTGTTGGTCTTAAAGGACTCAAACTTTGCACTCTAGGGCTTCTATGAAGAAGAGAAGAAGAGGAGACTGGATTTATACCCCGCCCTTCACTTGGAGTCTCAGAGCGCCTTACAAACTCCTTTCCCTTTCCCTCCCCACAACAGACACCCCGTGAGGTAGGTGGGGCTGAGAGAGCTCTTTCCAGAACTGCCCTTGAGAGAACAGCTCTGAGAGAACTATGGCTTGTCCAAAGTCATCCAGCAGCTGCAAGTGGAGGAGTGGGGAATCAAATCCAGTTCTCCCAGATTAGAGTCCACGCACTTACCCACTACACCAAACTGGCTCTATGCACATGGCATCTCCCCTCCCCCGCCCCCAGATGGAGAGCACTAAGAGTCCAGCAGACACGAGTTCCTTCATGCTCCCCAGGAAAAGCAAATGAAAATACAGTTCTGCTACATACCTCTTGTTGGATCAAACATCTCTGAAAGCTCTTTGGGAAGCTCCAGTACTGAAAGACAGAAGAGACGGCTCAGGCTTTTGTGCAATGCCAATAAACTTCCCTAACAGAGCAATCGCCATAGGTTGTTCAACCCTGATTGGGCAATCCAAGAACACTTTGCTACAGTGGCAGATTAGGCCATTTCGGCCACAGTTGCGTAGGTCACTAAAGGCACGGCTGCATTGCAGGCTGAAAGTGCTTTTAGTGCTGCCAGGAAAATTGTTATACACATTTTTCAAACAAGCAGGTGTTCCTTCTCCCTAGGTAACCTGGAAACGGTAGTTTTTAGGAGCATCAGCGATACTCAGCAGACAACTATCACCGCCCTCTCCAACCTAGGGCAATTGTGAGGTTTTATTTTTTAATCAGCTTAAGTCTGTAGTGTAGATACATCATCTTAAGCCATCATCAGTACCCTAGCAGCTGCTTCTCTAGGCCCATAGAATTTTGCAGTTAGGGACGGCAGCTGGACAGGCCTTCATGCCTGGCTTCAGATTCAACTGGACTCCCACACACCCCACTGCTGGACCTCCCAATGGCACCTGGTATTTCTGGCCACTGTGTGACACAGCGTGTTGGACTGGATGGACCATTGGCCTGATCCAACATTGGCTTCTCTTATGTCCTTATAGGGCTTGAGAGAGTGGGGCTGGGGCAGGAGTGTCAGCGTAATATCTGAGAGGACCGAGGCTCAAATTAATATGCTGCCATGGAAGCTGAATGACCTTCGTCAGTCACCTTCTCTCAGCCTAACCTCACCTCACCGGGTTCTTGTAGGGATAAAGTGCAGAAGAAAGACCGTTGTTATGTCCTGAGTTCCTTGAAGGAGAGCAGGCATAACAATGTCCCGGAGAGGGGAAGCGGCACCTGGGCTTCGTTCTGTTGGGCCTACAGTCAGACCCCGCTGAGCACCCTTCTCCAAACAGCACTTTACATGACATTTCAATTGCAGCAGATTTCTAAGTACTATTTGGGAGGCTGTTTCTAGCTGCGGTGGCTCAAGTGGCTCAAGTGGTTAAGATGCTGAACTGCAGGCTGTGGAACGTCAGTAGTTCAGCAGTTCGAGACCCAAGTTGCTGCATGACGGAGTGAGCTCCCGGCTCTAGTTCCAGCTCCTGCCAACCTAGCGGTTCGAAAGCAAGAAATTGCAAGTAGATAAATAAGTACCACTTCAGTGGGAAGGTAACAGCGTTCTGTGCGCCTTGGTGTTTAGTCATGCCGGCCACATGACCACGGAAACGTCTTTGGACAGCGCTGGCTCTTCGGCTTTGAAACGGAGATGAGCACCGCAACCCTAGAGTCGGATTCGACTGGCTTTCGAGCAAGGGAACCTTTACCCTTTACTTTCTAGCTAAAAAGTACGGATTTTAAAAGAAAGATATAGGTACATGAGCAACCCTTGCCCCAGAGAGAGATTTCTACACTTTGGGTGATATCAAATGGAATCTGTGCCTTCGGTGGGTGGGGGGGATACAACTGAGTTACTTGAACATACACCAAAAGAATGACTTAATACATTTATAAAGAACTTGGTGAATTCCAGTTCTGCTATGTGCAACAAAGCAAAAGCCCCTGGGAACAGTCTGCTTCACGTATTCCAAGCAGAGGAGTCCTCCCCAGATTGTGTTGCAGTTCAGCAGCAAACGAAAGTCAAAGAGCAGGTGAGGGAAGGCGTATACCCCTCTGTTTCCCAAAGGCAGTCGGCAGATTCAAGTGTTACCCTCCCAAGTGAGGAATACAAAGAGTTCCTTCCTCTTGTTTCAAAATTTCAAGAGAAACAGGCTCCTTTCCATCAGCAACAGGCAGAAGGCACTCCAGATGGCTTCAGGCAGTCACTTACCCCCTCCCACACACACACGCATGCACTCTTTCATCCACTTTGCCTTTCTCTGCATTCTAGGAAAAGAGGAGGAGCCATCAAGTATGTGTCTCTGTCTTGAGACAAGACCTCGAAGCTACTCTGGTAGCAGCTACCTTTGCCTATGAGTAAGGCAAGAACAGCTGCCACCAGAGTAAGCAAGGCAGAGCTGCTCTGAGAAAGCAGAGCAGGAAAGGATGGTGTATGGTGTTGTCTCTTCCTCCTCTATGGAAACATTGGGAGATGCAGGGGGAAGGAGCTAAGCCAATCCCTGTAAGCGTCTGCAGTGCCCCCTGCCTGTTCCAGCCAATGGTGGAAGGGATTTTATAACGTCAGACTTGCAGGCATTACCCCATTCACAGGGAAAAGTGTGAAGAGAGTCTTAACTAGAAGCTGGCTACTGTGTTGTCTGTCTTCTTATTCTTGGATGGTTGTGCTCAATCCTATACACTAAATCTACTGTATCGTATCAACTTAAGCCTCAGTTGTGATTTGTGATTTATATGATTGTGATAAGTATTACTGTATTATATTAGTAACGATGAATGTTAAAATTCAATAAAATATTAATTTTTTAAAAAAACTCTTGCTGCAGCTTCTGGAAGATGAAGTAGCAAAGAGAGAGATGTGGAGTTTGCTAGCTGCAGCTCACTGGCCAAGATCCAACGCTTTCCTGCCACAGCAGACTCGGGATTTTCTACAGAAATGTGATGCGGCCAAATTCCTCTCTAGAAATGGTACATCAACTGGATCAGAGCAAGGAAAACGGCTGAGAGAGGGACCAGCCCCATCACGTGACGTTCCTGGAACACCCAAACTATTCTCCCCATCTACAGTTGGCAAATTCCTGGAGATTTGAGGATGGTGCCCGGGAAGGACACGCTTGGGGAGGGAACGGAGCTTTGTGGCGATAAGATACCACAGAGTCCAGTCTCCAAAGCTGCCATTTCCTCCAGGAGAACTGATCTCTGCATTCTGGAAAACAACTCAGATTCCGGGAGCTGAAACTCCAGGCCCCACCAGGAGAATGGCAACTCTACCCACACACCTCCCCAAAAGCCCCAGCAAGAGAGACTCACTTTCTGTGGGGTCTGGTTTGATCGGTTCGAAGGAGGAGGAGGGACTGGGCAGGACGGAGCTGCTGTCCAGCAAGGCGGAGGACTGGAGGGGTTGCGTGTCCAGCCCGGCGGGAGGGCTGGCAGGGGCGGTCGAAGGGGTGAGCGAGTCCAGCTCCCTGCTGCTTCTGGACTCTGCTGTCGAGATGCCGCTGTCTGCAGGGGGTCAAACAGAGCTTCAGTTCTGCGATATGCCGGGACATCCACACTGCATCAATGATCGCTACTTACATTATTTACAGTCTGCCCGTCTCGCTGGGACTCAAGGCGAATTACACAGAGAGAGTCAAAACAAACAACAGGATGGCACATTCAATAAGCAATGCAATAAGATCAGGGTTGTGTCACCAACCAGAAATCTAAAAACAGAGCCGAAGCAAAGCATAAGCACTGGTGCGACACATTAAATGATGCAAACGCTACACAGCAGGATCTTTGTTTCAGCAAGCTGAACACGGCAGTCTAGACCACTGTCTTTAATGATTTATCCAAGTAACTCTGTGAATCATTTAGTACAGTGAAAGCCCTCTTGGATAATTCTTGCAGGGAGTCTTCCTGACCTCCTCTGGCAGGCCATTCCACAAGACCTTGCTCAGGTGAGTGACGCTGTCGTGACGATGGGCTAACAACAGGCATGGAGAAGGCACCCTCATCAAAGACTCATGTGTCGGAGGAATGGCTAGTCCTTTGAAGGGGTACAGCCCAAACACAGGTTGACCACCCAAGCCAGAATAAGGCCTTTATGTGTATCATATAATGCCAGAATTACAGATCTAACAGGAAGGTAGCTGTTCTTTTATTACTATCGTGAAGGCAGGAAAACTAGGCGACCTCCTGACAAAATAGGGGCCTCTCCATAGTCAGAGGGCTCCCCATGTGTGCAGAAAAATAAAAATTTATACATTAACTGAACAAGTTTTTAAAGTCTCAGTGAGGAGCGAGTGTGCTCAGTCTGGCACATACCGCTGACGGCAGTGGAAGGGGGGAGGTAGGGAACCCAGCCTGCTTAACCCCCTCTTGTAGAATACTAGACAAGAGATCTGTGTGCATAAGGAGGGAACTGCCACATGGTTTATTCCCTCTCCCACGGTTGCTCCTCAGCGTCCCTCCCTCAGCTTGTACATTTGCAAATTAGTGGGGGGATTTTCCCTTTCAACTCAGAGTCCACCATCTCTGAAAGTGAAGGATGTCAGGATGAAAATCAGCCTTAAAACAGTTAACAGAGAGGCTCCCGTTGGGTTTGATGGCAGGATGGCAGACAAAGGCAGGCAGCGGATTGCTTAACACATTCCAAGAGCTAAGAGTGGGAGACTGCAACTTAATCCTCGAGAGAGCACACAAGGTGTACGAAGTAAAACAAATATTTGCCCGGGGCCAACCTGCCACTTTCCTCTTGTATTGTGGAAGCAAAGCCTTCCTTCAAGAAGCAGGTTAAGAGGAGCCATTCTGGGCAGACGGACAAATCCCAAGGCACTCGGTCTAAAGATACTGAATGCCGCCCTGTGTGCACATGCACCGAGACAACATGCTACGTTCTCTAAGGACGCTGCTGCACAAGACAGGAGGAGGCCTGCAACAGGTTCCAGGAATCCAACTTGCCATGCCAGGCCTCCAGAGATGAGCATGGGGTGACAAGGCCCACCACTCAGCATCACTGGCACAACTGGAAACAACCGGGCAAGGGTGCTTAGCGAGTAAGAGAGCAGGAAAGATGCACAGTGACGTGGAAGACAGTAAAGGCAGTGGACGAAAACATGGAGAGCGCTACTTATCTGTTTTTTTCTCAGAAAAGGATAACAGAAGATCCCCCCAAAGCTTGAGCCAATTCTGCATTGCTCAGAACAAAGATCCACCAGGCCAGATTCTTAACCTAGGTCTGGCTGCATCATATGCAGCTATGGGTGCACGGCTACCCAGACGGAACACTCCTCCATGAAAAACACACACAATGTCTCCCCATTCACAGATGACTGGCACATCAGGAAGAGGCTAGAGACCTTCTCTCTGACTTCAGGTGGGGGCTGTATGGAGGAGTACTGGATAATATGAGGAGACCTCCCTTTCAGTCTGCACTCAGTACGCCCCCAGAAGAGCACTGCGCCCAAGAAATAAGAACTTCATGGTGGTCCCCGGCCCGAGAGAGATCCAGCTGTCCTAAACCTGGCGGGACTCTCTGCTGGAAGACATCCATGCCCTGGGGGAATTATTACCTTTCTGCAGGGCATGCAAGGCAGAGATGTTTTGCCAGGCATTTTGCTGAGGACAGCGATGGGGATAGTATGACATTGGGCACCCTCCTACACTTCCCCACCCCTCACAACCCCGCCCCCCAAGGAGGCCGGGGGAGCTGATTTTTTCCACCATCCTGTATATGCATTTTGTTCTTATTTATTGATCTGTTTTAGGTGATTTCTAACATGGTATATTAGGAGTTGCGGTGGCTCAAGTGGTTAAGACGCTGAACTGCAGGCTGTGAAAGGTCAGTAGTTCAGCAGTTCGAGACCTGGGTGCCGCATGACGGAGTGAGCTCCCGTCTCTAGTTCCAGCTCCTGCCAACCTAGCAGTTCGAAAGCAAGACATTGCAAGTAGATAAATAGGTACCACTTCGGTGGGAAGGTAACAGCGTTCCATGCGCCTTGGTGTTTAGTCATGCCGGCCACATGACCACGGAAACGTCTTCGGACAGCGCTGGCTCTTCGGCTTTGAAACGGAGATGAGCACCGCAACCCTAGAGTCGGATTCGACTGGCTTTCGAGCAAGGGAACCTTTACATTTACCATGGTATATTATTCTGTCGTAAGCTGCCCTGACCCCTACCAGTCGGGAAAGGCAGCCTAGCAAATCAAATTTAATAAATAAGTAAATGTTATAGATCAGGCACAGGTTTACCACCGCCATGAGGATTCATTACTGAGCAACCGGAGGCCAAAATTTCTGGCCCCGCATGCCTTCAGCCGAGGCTGTTACCACCCCACCCTGCTCCTTCAGAGGTCTGCACACAACCGCACGGCAGCCAGTCATTACAAAGCTCAAATCCCCCCCCCCGCTCCCACAAACCCATTCTCCGCCTGCACCTCCTGCTCACCTGTGGTGCTGGGTGTTTTCTGAGCAGCAGGGTTCTGGTCCTGAGTGCTGTTGGGCCCGGGCGCGGAAGGGTGCGTGCCACTGGGAAGGGACGCTTCTTGGGAATGGGGCTTGGAAGGAGTGACTGGCTGGCACTGGATAAGGTCTTCTGGGGGAGGGACAGGTAGTACGACCGGAGGGGAGCTCCAGACATCCTTATTGACGAGCAGGACGTCGATCGGACCACTTGTGCTTTTCAGATGGATCTGGTACTTCTTTTGCCCGTTCAAGCCCTGTAGAAAAAGGAACAGGTGTACCTTTGGAATTATGTTGAGACAGACACAGCCACATAGACAACTACCTTAGATTCAATCAGACCATTGGTCCATCAAGGTTAATGCTGTCTACTCAGACTGGTAGTGGCTCTCTGGGGTCTCAAGCAGAGGTCTCTCACATCACCTACTACGTGGTCTTTCTAACTGGAGATGCCAGGGATTAAACCTGGGATCTTCTGCATGCCAAGCAGATGCTCTACCCCTGAGCCTCCTGGACTGATCACACCCTATAGTTGTCACAAAGCTGCCTACAGGGTTCCAAGACATCCTCCCCAACACAATATTCCCCACCTTGGAGCTCATATAGGGACATTTTTGGAGAGACCAAAGATACAATACCATTTTCAACATGCTCAACCCACAAAACCTGACCCATTTCCTCTGCTAACCCCAAATCAACACTACTACTTCAAAACTGATCCCCTCGTGCTCTGCCTTTGCAGGCCCACATGCTCCAGACAGTCCATTTTACGACCGCTTTTGCTGGCGAGGCTTAAATTAAATATGGATACCACCCTGGGTTCTTCATAATGCTACTGTCAGCATCATAGTGGTGAAACTGGGGGGAGGAAGACCCTCCCTTACTGGTTGGTGGAAATGTTTTCTTATTGTAACAGTGTTGTGACTTCCCCTGGAAGAGAAGGACCATCATTACAATTTTAAAGTGATGCTACTGGGGTAACGAAGGCTAGCCAAGCAACCTGGCCTCAGCATAAAGTTTCAGCAAGAGACTCCCAGTTTCGTCTCTTTTCAACCAAGCACCCATCCTGCGCAACCCACCTCGGGAACAGGAACTTCTAGCTGAGTACCCGATGGGGCTCGAATGGCTAGCAGCGTGTCGCCTGAAATGAGAGACCGGAAACAGTCATCAGCAGGCTGAACTAGCCTGAGAGGAGAGCGCGGATGCCACACAACATGCAGTCTCGCAGGGGAAGAACCCCACCTGTACCTTTTCCTAACCTCATTCTTTCTAAAACATCAATATGACACTTTCAGGCCCCTCCTGACATTTGCCCAAAGAACCCTCTGATGAATTTTGCCAAAGGGTACTTGTATTTTTCCCATAGGGCATGGTCAATTTCAGCTCAAATCGTGGAGCCATGCAATCAGCAAGCCAACGGCAGCACGTGGTGAACATGAACAGCTCGAAAGATCAGGCCAGGCACAAGGCCTGCCTGCAGACGTAACTGACCAACCACAGTTTCGTCAAGTTGTTCCCTCTAAGCTGAGTTAGTGTGCGCTAGCTCACACTTTTTTAGCCTCCGGCTCACACATTTTTGTCTCAGCTCAGGAAGAACGGCTCCAGAGCAAACTAATTTATGCAGCTGCCAAATCGCTCGCTCACAGCTTTAATGCCAGTAGCTCACAAAGTAGAATTTTTGCTCACAAGACTCCACAGCTTAGAGGGAACATTAGTCAAGGGGTGACGAGAGGCCAAAGGGAAGAGATTTCAGGTGGGATCCTTAGATGGGCTACAGCTAAGCTGACTTTTGACAGAGAAGCACTTCCCGCAATGGAGCAAGACTTGGGCCTGGACTTTGCGCAAGGGAGTTGTGGGATCCAACTTTTCCGGTCTCTACCTCTATATGTGCTGAATGGACCCGACACCCCCCTTCCACCAGGTGCACAGGGAAGCGGAAATAAAAACAGACTTTAGTCTGTGGAACCCCAAACTGCATGTATCTTTTCAGAAGCAGCAGCCACGGCAGAAAAGTGAGATGCACTAAAGAGCCAGGGAGGAAGCCTAGCCAGGAAAGGGTACTACAACCTCACCTGCAAAGCATTTGCAGAGGTCCTCATCAGTCACATAGGCTAACGTTCTTGGAGTCAAGGGAAAATTCTGTTGCATCCAGAAGCAAAGTGAACATTCCAAGATCTAAAAAAAGGTACTGAAGTGGAAGCTACACGAAACCCATTATTTGCACCAACCTCCTCTGTAGCGTATGCAGGATATTAGTAAGGATATCCCACCCCACCCCGTTTCCTCTATCAGTACGTCTGTGTCCAGGAAAAATGACAGAGAGTGAAGTTTTAAAACTGACAAGTCTTCTGATAAGGATGTAAAAAAAAAAATTCTTAGCAATGACAAAACAAGAAAACGAAGGAAGGGAGATGACAGTCTAAGGAGAAGGGACATCAAGAAGATCATTAACTCTTGCTTGGATTTAAAGGTGCACTTTATTAATACAGTGGTGGATCAGTGACCCCCAAAGCCTGACATAATTTTTTTTAAAAAAAAAACCTTGGGAATGGCTCTGAGCTTGCTAAGAAAAAAAAACACAACTCTTTATTAAGCCAGGGTGGTGCGGTGGCTAGTATTGTTGGATTGAGATCTGGGAAATCCAGGTTTGCCTCCCTAACCTGCCATGGAAGCTTGCTGAGTGACCTGGGGTCAGTCACACACTCTGAAGCTTAACCTACCTCACAGGGTTGTTGTGGAGACAAAATGGAGGAGAGGAGAAGGATGTAAGCTGCGTGGGGTCCCCCTCGGGGAGAAAGCCAGGGTGTAAAGGAAGCAGTTAAATAAATAAAGTGTTTCTCTTTGGCAGTAAAGGAAGAGAACAGCAGCCAAGGACAACAGGAAGACAATAAATTTTTCAATTTCACCCCAAATTCGTTAGTTTCAATTTTTCTTTCAATGGCCCCAACCCTTTCAAGAGAACATGTTGCAATTTACAAAAAATAACCAGTGGGGAAGCATGAATCGCCCTCATTAAAAGTGAGGAACACCATGAATTAAGAACTGTAGATTATTATTTTTAATTTCCTTACTTACAGGGGTCAAAACGTCCCCAGTTTTTGCTTAAGTGAGTGCATATATCAAAGGGGTAAATTCATTAAAGAGAAGTTATTCTCTCTCACACACACACTAGCCTTCAAGGCCACCACACTGATAGATGTTGGAAGACCCACTCCAGAAGACTCTTGCCACACAGCTCGTAAGGAACACATGCAATTCTTTACCACGTGCTGCAGCTCCTCTGATTATCAGCTGCAGGGACCAACCCGCAGGAAGAGGCTATCTCTGCCCCAGACCTCTAGCTGGCTACTGTTGGAGACCTGATAATCCTTCAACCTCTTGACATTTACAAATGAGACTGCGCTAACTCTCGGGAGGGAGGGTGCCGCTTTTCCAGTTTTTGATTCCAATACTCCTTCAGAGGCTGGGAACCCAACATTCTCCTCATGCCCCTCCCAGCAGGAGCGTCCAAGGGCGAAAGCAGGGAGGGAAAGCAGGATGCATCGGAGGCAAAGGATATTGGTTGTTTTGGACGTCGTCGGAAACGTTCCGGATGCTCTGCTGCACCCACATCTTCTGCTGCTCCAGCTCTCGCTCCCGCTGCTCCAGATCCTCGATCTCAGCCTTTAGCTCGATCAGCTTGTGGGCGATCTCACGGGTGTTGCAGCCAGGGCCCACGCCTCTGGAGAGGGAAGGAAGGCAATGGGGGGGGGGAGAACAAGGTTGTGAATGAGCAGCTCCTCTCTCTCCGTATACTGAGGGGACTCTGAATGTATCACAGACCCTTGCCATCTCCACGACACATAACGTACAACCCAACTACTGAATTCCGCAGCAAAGGACCTGCACTGTTGCTGAAGTACAGTAGGTTGCTGTCAAGGACGGAGCCTTTTCCACCGTGGCCCCATCTGAAACACTGGTTGGTCTGATGCCCACTCATTTATGTTTTCAGCATCGGGTGGAAATGGCTTTCCAGACCTTTACAAAAAGCTACATGAGGTGCACACTTTTCCTCCGTTCCTCTCCACCCCAATAGCTTTAATGCTGTAGCATTGCTGCTTTTACTTATTTTACTGTATTTTATTTGGGTCCAGTTCCCAGAGAAAAGCATGATTTAAATATTTAACATACACGAATGACTGAATAAATTGTGCTTTTAAAAAAAGTTTTACTCTGCTGTGAGCGAGCTGGAAAACTCTGTGCTGGGGAGGAGGCACAGAAGTGTTCGCCACAGGTCAATCTGTGGCCCCCACACAGCGGCTCACAAGCTGCATGTGGCTCTTCCATGTGCCTCCTACAGCTCTTCTTCTAATTTCAGGCTTTAGGGATTTGCTCAGTCTCTCCGGCAGGGCACCCAGAAGCAATCACCAGTGCACTGGAAGTGACGTGTGACTGGCAATGACCCAGACTTGAAACCACAGAGAAAAACTGCCGGGTGACTGGAGGGCACCGGAAGGAGGAAGCAAAGGGAAGACAACTGGGAGAAAGAGGGGAGGTGGGACAGGTATATGTTTAATATTACCCCCACATGTTCCCCCAAGAGCACTACGGTCTGGGACTCAGAACTTATTGGATGTGCCAGGTCCCCGGGTTATCAAACTTGTCATGACCAGGATCAGGGCGTTTTCGGTGGCGGCTCCTATCTGGTGGAATGAGCTCCCAGAGGAGATCAGGGCTCTGCGGGACCTAGCACAGTTCCGCAGAGCCTGCAAGACGGAGCTCTTCCGCCAGGCGTTCGAATAGGAGCCGCCACCACCATGGTACCATCACCATGGTACCACCTACGCCCCAGGTTTTGTGGACAGGGTCATCATGATGTGGGCACTTTGGATGAGAATGGGACTTTTTAGGAGACGGCCATCTTGTTTTTAGATGAGGAGCACCAAATACTGTTTATGAATGTAGATGTTTTAATACGTAATGTTATTTAATATTTCTAATGTTTTTATTGTTTTATTATACGTTTCGGCTATATGCTGTGTAAGCCGCCCTGAGCCTACGGGGAGGGCAGGATAAAAATGTAAATTAAAAAAAATATATTACTTTATGAGCACGTTCAGTGAGGTGGTACCCAGGGCATTCAATAGTCATGACTAGAGGTGTGCAATTTTCCAGTTTGGGTACACTGAACTGGGGGGAAAATTCAGGTTTCCCAAAAAAATCCCGGATTCCAATACAAGTGCAGCCTTCAGATCCAGGAATTTTTTTGGGAAATCTTGAATTTTTCCAGGTCCAATAGATCTGAGAAGGGGGGGAAACAGGGTCCAATAGATCTGAGAAGGGGGGGAAACAGGGAAAAAATTGCATATCAGAAGCTGTGCCCGCAGGGAACAGTCTGCTTGATTTAAACCAACCTGCTAGAGGAGCCAGCCCCAGCTGAGGATGATCCTGGGCTGATTTCTCTTGCAGCCTGGTTTAAACTGTGCTGCAAGAGAAGCCAGACAGCCCCAAGCCCAGCTGGCAGGGACTGTCTTCTCCAGCCTCCTTAAAGTTTAAAGGGACGGCAGAAGCCTGACAAACAGCTCCCGCCTCTTGCTGTTTTCAGATCTACCTGTAATTTCCAAATACAACCGGGATTTTCTCGGGATTGTTTTTCAGTTTTCCCAAGAAAACCCAGATACATTTGGGATGCCGAAATAGTTCCGAAAAATACCAATAAGGTAGTTTGTCAGGTATATTTTCAGCTCGGGTAGATCTGAGTTGCACACCGCTAGTCATGATGCTTGTTTGGTTGACTATGATGACTGCAAAGGTGGCTGTCGGCAGCCACAAAAGTGAGTACCACAGAAATAAATGAGTGTGGTATCCAGTCCAGTTTAGGATAGAGCCTCCTTCCTTCCATTTCAATCCCAGCACCCTCTAGCCACCTCCCCACAGAATCTCCCCTACATCCCACTGTTCTTTTCCACAATTCCTTTGGTAGAGTTTCCTGAACCCCACTCACACTCTATTTCCCAAAAGTCAGATCACGGAATCACCCTCTATTGCTCTGAGACTCTGCAGCAGATTTAGAAAAGACAAGTCTTTGGAAGCCAAGAACCCGCCTACCAGAGACTCAGACCAATAACACTATGTCTCTGTTTAAAGATCTCCATCAAACGGTATTTGCAAATTAAACCACCAAGCTAGTGAAGAGCCCGGCAAGGCTGCTGGTGAAGGTGGCTTAAATGCAGAGCTCTTCCAGCGGCTCAGAGCCTAGCACTGTCTGCGATGCAAGGAGGCCAGCCCCACTTGCGGCGATGGAAGCTCATCAGCCATCACCGCCAGTGTGCTGCTGAGAACAAAAGCCTGCTTTCAGGGTTTCCTTCCATCACGGCTGATCTCCCAGGACTCACTTCCACTGAATACTGTTCTTGGACTTCTTCTCAATCAGCCCGATGCCCTCCAGGACGTTTGTGATATCATAGATGCGCCTCTTCTGCCGCACTGCCAGGGTATCTGCTGCCTAAGGAGGGAGGAGGAGACAAATCATTTTGCTGCAAAGGCATCGCTCCGCCCTGCCTAAGGGCATCTGGATATCACATCATCCAAACCTCATATTGAAAAGCCACCTCCAGCCAAGTACCGCTTCGTCAATTACATCCAGGAACTGTCTTTTCTCCCCACCCCACCCCAAGCTCAGGACAAGAATGAAGTCAGACCTGTTTGCCTCTGGATGTTCCATTCGGTGCAGTGGTTTGTGCATGCCACGTTTACCATGGAAAGTGGCAGTGGATACGTTGGCCTTGGGGTTCCAGAAGATCCCCAGGATTGCTTGATCTCACAGATGGTGAGGTGAAGGAGTCCCACTTTGCAGAACATGAGGAAAATGAACATCTTACTCTTCCCCCCTCCCCAGTAATAGATGAGAAAGCCCCTGAGATCCAGAAGAAAGCTTCCAATTTACTATGTCAGAGCATCTATACCGATGTTACACTTGGGGAAGGGCTGTGGGCTCAGCAGAGCGTCTGCTCAGCATGCAGAATGTCCCAGGTTCAATCTCTGTCATCTCCATGCTTAAAATTCCTTCCTGAGACAGTGGAGAGCCACTGCCAGTCAGAGTAGACAGGGACTGGCCTTGATGGACTTATGGTCTGATTCAGTATAAGGAAGCCTCATGTATGTCCACATGATGTTCACTGTCATGGAATATCCGTGCTCAGACGGGAAATGCAAGAACTATCTGTCTGGCAGCACTGCAACTGGACGAGCGAGTGATGCATCGGCTCTTTTGTGGATCTAGACCTCCAAGGCCAAAGCTACAATATCCATAACCAGAAAGTGCATTGAAAAGCACAAAAAAGCACAAGAGTCTCGCAGTACCTGGAAGACTGACTAATATTGCACCTGCTGATGCTGTCTACAAAAGGTTATGCTAGAACTTGTTGTCTTTCAGTGCAACAAGAACCCTATTTGGAAAGCATGGGGTTGCAGTTAGGCTGTCAGATGAGTGTTTCGGAGACCCTCATTCGAATCTCCACCCTGCCATGGAAGCTGCTTCACCTCGAAGACTGATGAACAACACCCACCCTGAGCTCCTTGACGGGAAAGGCAAGGTAAAAAATGTAGTAAATATAATAAACCAGCATCAAAACACCTAGAGCCAGTTTGGTGTCGTGGTTAAGTGTGCGGACTCTAATCTGGGAGAACCCAGTTTGATTCCCCACTCCTCCACTTGCACCTGCTGATGTGACCTTGGGTCAGTCACAAGCTCTGGCACAGCTGTCCTTGAAAAAGAGCAGTTTCTGTCAAGAGCTCTCTCAGCCCCACCCACCTCACAGGGTGTCTGTTGTGGGGAGGGGAAGGAGTTTGTAAGCCGCTCTGAGACTTCAAGTGAAGGGTGGGGTATAAATCCAATCTCTTCTTCTTCTTCTCTAGATTCAGTAACAGTCACTCAAATCACAAAGGAAACACAACCTATGTTGCTCCCAGTTGACCCTGATCCAGCACACCACAAAATTCCTGTGAACCCAACTGAATACTGTCATTTTCTCAATTTACAGCTAAGCAAATCAATTATGAAAGAGCTTTTATAGGGCGGCTGTGGCAGGAGCAGCTAGGCCGCAATACCCCATGAACTAGGTTCCATTTTCTGCATCTCAAAATGATTCAGAAGCCTCCCAAAAGCAACATATTTGTACTACGAGCACTTAAGTTATGAACAGTGCGGGGAGTTCACTGGAAAAAATGATTCACTCTGCCTCAAAATGCAAAAGACTTGAAGCCATTAACTGAAACTGATAAGCTTGTTCAAAGGAAACGAAGAGAGTATGATTTCACCTGACACACAACTAATCCAGTGGAACTCCCAGCCACTGGATGCTGCAAGGGCAATGTGCGCCACTGGCCTACACGGACGCCTGCACAAAAGCCCTGCCAGAGTGCACGAGCCTCAGTTAACCTCCATTGTCAGGGATGGTGCAACTAGCAACAGCTGGGCCTCAAACCAGTGGCAGGCATAATTACTATGCTCTGCTTGCAAATCCTCCCACAGTACATGTGAGGCAACGAGCTTGGCAAGACCAGTCTGGCTCTTTCTCCCAGGACATTGTGTAGCAGAGTTTAAAGCCGTCACATTCCAATGAAAACCACACTTCAAGAAGGAGGCTCTGGCTCGAAGCTGCCAACTGGGAATTCATTGGGCACTGTGGAATGCAGCCTCTGCAAGCCCAGGAACGACCAGCTTGCAATGGGAAGAAACTGGCCCTCGGTCACCTTGACCGAGCTTTGCTTAGTCACCTCCAGTAGCCACTAGCCCAAAGTGGGTAACAGCCAAGGATGCCAGTCACTTATATTTCTTACTGATACTGTCTCTCTTGGGGGACTCCAAGGAGAAGAAGAGAGATACCATTTCCCTACCGGTTCTTTATCTTGGCCTGTACCAGCTTACTTCCACCCCTGGTCATAACCCTACTTTCTGGGCCTTGTATCTGTTGGATCCTGTACTCATTTGTGTTCTGCTCGGTGCCCAGACAGCCACTGCTAATCCCTTGGTCTGCTTTTTAGATGCACGCCGTAAATACACAAATTGTTCATTCATTTACTTACATGAATGTATACTTTGCCTTTCTACCCAATGGGGGCTCAAAGTAGCTTACAGCTTTCTCCTCTCCTCCATGTTGTCTCTAGGCAGTAGGTTAGGCTGAGACTGTATGACTGGCCCAAGGTAACCAGCAAGCTTCTATGGCAGAATTCCAAGCTGGGTCTCCCAGATCCTGCTCTGACACTCTAACTAGTATGCCACACTGGCTCTTCTCCTTGGGGTGTACGTACTAACCTGCCTCAATTACTATTTGAGATACCTGATGGGCTTCTATCTATAGAAGAAGCAGAGATTGGATTTATACCCCATCCTTCACTACCTGAAGGAGTCTCAGAGCAGCTTACAATCCCTTTCCCTTCCGACAACAGACACCCTGTGAGGTAGGTGGGGCTGAGAGAGCTCTTTCAAGAAGTGCTCCTGAGAGGACAGCTCTGAAATAACTTATGATTGACAAAAGGTCACACCAGCAGCTGCGTGTGAAGGAGGAATCAAACCTGGTTCTCCCAGATTAGAGCCCGCGCTCTTAACCACTACACCAAAATGTTTCTTTCACAGCACCACTGCATTCCTATGAAGAGTCAATGCAATCCAAGTCCATTCATTTCAGTGGGCTGAGACTTGAGTCACTCAGCATAGGACAGTACTTACACTCTGTTAGCCTTTACAGGACTCACAGGACTTTCTTGTCTTGCGGCAAAGGATAATCACCTCTGCCTCCCTGGAACTGACCGCAGCACAATGGCTGCTCTGTTGAAACTCACGGTCCAGCAAACACCTCTTGAAGAGGAGCCGGCAGGAACGTTCAATGGCAGCCTCCCCCATCACGAAGGGCCATGGCCAGTCCATTCATTTCAGTGGGCTGAGACTTTCTTGTCTTGCAGCAAAGGGTAATCACCTCTGCCTCCCTGGAACTGGCCGCAGCACAATGGCTGCTCTGTTGAAACTCACGGTCCAGCAAACACCTCTTGAAGAGGAGCCGGCAGGAACGTTCAATGGCAGCCTCCCCCATCACGAAGGGCCATGGCCCTCCAAGGGTAACATACAAGCCATCAAAGAAGAATTAGAACATCGCTTTGCCGATGCTTCACTGAAACAAGCCTGTGGTTGACAGAAGCTTCTTTCCTTCTCTTGATCAGGCACATTTCGTCCACGATAAAACACAGCACACAGTTCTGCTGTGAACAGTTTTTAACTGCTAGGCCGTGGAGGGGGTTTCCTCCCCCCACGCTGCAGCAGAACCAAGTAAGATTTCGGTTAAAGTTAAGCTCTCCAGGAAGAGCAGACCTACACCTGCAGCTCCCCTGCTGCTGCGGTAAAACAGAAGCCCCTGACATGGCCAAACGTCTGCTTCTGGGCCATCAATTTGTCACACCTGCGCTTCACCGAGATAAGCAGCCAACCTGCGCTGCACACCCAGAGAGCCCTTCATGCACTCCTGCACACCCGCCATGCAAATCAGTCTCTCTCCCAGTTCAGCAGATGCTACGCCGGCCGCGTAGCACGCGTGCTTCCCTCAGCAGAACGCTTTGCGGGTGAAGGGCAAGGAGAAGAGAAGCCGGTTGGTGGGGGCGGGGGGATCACTCCAGGGCACAGGCAGGGCCTATCAAGCGAGGCTGCGGCCTCAGTGATAAACCTGCCCCTCGCATTGGGAGAACGAACTGGAAGGCCAATGCCCACAATACGAAAAGCGAAAGCAGGGCCATCTGGTGCCATTTTTCCAGGGGAGGCAAAACGAGGAGACGAGGCTAGCTCAGGTGAGCAGATCCCGGCACTACTGTCCCATTTATACCAGTGTGCACGGCCGGCCGGGGAAGGCGCCTCAAGTCTCATCCTGCACAAGCCAGCCAGCCACTCTCACTCCATACCTGCCAAGCCACTGACGAGGCAGTGTGATCTTGGATTTCCCCCCACCCCACCATCTCTGTGGTAAGGAAGGTCAGGTTCTGCCTAGCAAGCCTGATCCCCGCTTCTCACTCTCTCTCACACACACACACGTTGGAAAGCAGAAAGGAATGAACTCGATCCAGCCAGATACACCGATACAACATATATAACCTATAAGGGAGGACTGGGAGGAAGAGCACCAGAGCTTGAGCCTGCCGCTTCCATCCCTTAAACGCCATTCTGACTGATCAGCTTCATCTTCTACACACATGCCGGGGGGGGGGGCTCTGAGGGCGCACAGC